CCCTTCTGAACCCAAACTTTCAGACACCACTGCCAAGTGCCAGGCAGTGAGGGCAATTGTTGGTGTTGACTCTAGACCCCAGCTGTTAGCTGAAGTCAGTGCCACAGACCACCGGAGCCCTTCCTGATATCCTAACCCACAAAACCATGGTATATAAAATGGTGGTTGTTTTAAGTCACCAAGTTTTGGGGTAGTTTGTTACACAGCAAGAAATAACCAGAACAGAGCGCAAGGCAGAATCTTTTTTTCTCTCTTCATTCTTCCTTTAATAAAAGTAAAAGTTGCAGTGTTAGATCACAGTTGGGCTGTGAGAGTGGGCTTCATTTCCCTCAGCGGTTTTCTCAGCTTTAAAGCTGGAGGACGGTTTAATTTCTAAAGCATTTCTACAATTTAGCATCTAATAAAGACAGTTCCTTCTTCAAAGAGAATCTCCACATAGCTATGAAGAGATATCTACTCATATCTCTACTTTGAAAATAAAAAAGCGTAGGAGGGGCCGGCCTGGTGGTGTAGTGGTTAAGTTCGCATGCTCCACTTCAGCGGCCCGGGGTTTGCGGGTTTGGATCGCCGGTGAGAACCTACACACCACTTGTTAAGCCACGCTGTAGTGGCTTCCTGCATACAAAATAGAGAAAGGTTGGCACATATGTTAGCTCAGGGCCAATCTTCCTCAAGCAAAAGAGGAGGATTGGCAACAGATGCTAGCTCAGGGCCAATCTTCCTCACCAAAAAAAAAAAAGGAAAAAAGCATGAGAGAGCTGGCAGAATTCAGAAAAAAAGAGCGAGAAAGATTATTCATTTATGATACTTGCCCAGGTACATTCTTACTAGCTTGCAGACAAAAACAAAGAAAAAAAATCTTTAACCGTGGACTTCCTTCCTTCCTTCCCACCACCCCTCCTGGGCACACTCTTGGCACACCCTTAGGTGGCAGGAATTCTGATTGTTGGCTGAGATCTAGTGACCAGAAAGTTGCTCTCTCATGACTGGGGCCCTGGGAAGTAACCTCTGTGCTCCCAGCTCTCAGTAGCCTCACTCAATTACAGTGCTCTTCGAGACCTCAGAATAAGGAGGAACCCAGTCTCTGCAGGAGTCTCCCACAGTTTGTCTGGCCCCGAGATTATCCCCCTGAGACTACACAGGTGTCCAAATGTCTCCCTCTTTCCAGGACTATTTGTGAAGCAGGTAGGCCCACATTTCTACCCCTGCACCCTCACCCCCAGCACAGAGCTTCAGGCCTAGCCTCAGGCCTCTGCACCAGGAATCTCTTGCTTCTCGTTACTTTCAGAGTTGAACACAGTGCTGCTTTTTCTGCCTGGAATCTGGCAGAGCCTGAAGCTTTGCAGAAAGCAGGCCTCTGGGCTCTGCCTGTTGGCCGGGTCCCAGCTGCTGCTCTGCTTTGCATGGTAGTGGCACCAGAGTTGAGAGGAAAGGGTTCCAGGGATACGACTCAGGCAGCCTCCTTAGGATGAGGAAGGAGGCCTGGCGAATTTGAAATACAATATTTGAAATATGATAGGAGTCTTAAAAAATAGGATGGATTCCAAGAGAAAAGGTAATAGATGTCAGGAGCCAAAAAGCAGTGAATTATGTAGAGGTTGGGATGAGGGAGAGACAGGAGCTAAAGTGTAGCAAAGACCGAGGTTTCACTGGGGCTCAGGGAAAAGAGTGTGACCAGTGAGTCACAAGGAAGCCCTGGAGATGGGGTGGTGTGATGACACTTATTGTTCAGAAAGTTAACTCTGGGAGGGATGTCTGGACAATATTGCAGTGGGAAGAGCACAGGCTCTTGAATCAGGGGTTCTCTCTCTCTTTCTCTCTCTCTCTCTCTCTCTAGATAGGAAGATGTTTATATTAGGGGATGTTATATATATATATATATAAATATATAATTATTAGCACCATCGAGTTGATTCTGACTCCAGGTGAGTCAGAACTTCTGACTTCTGGCTTCTGACTTCTGACTCCCTGTGGACAGCAGAGCAGAACCCTGCCCGGTCTTTTTGTGCCATCCTCTCACCTTCTGGCACTGTATCAGACAATGCTCCACTGCTGCTTTCGTAGGGTTTTCACGGCCAGTTTCTTTTGGAAGTGGGTGGCCAGGTCCTTCTTCCTAGTCTGTCTCAGTGTGGAAGCTCCACTGAGCCCTGTCCACTGTGGGTCACCTTGTGGTAACATAGCTTTCAACATCACAACAACACGCAGGCACTATAGTGTGACAGCTGACCAGGAAACGAACCCAGGCCTGTGGTGATGAGAGCGCTGAATCTTGACCACGAGACCACCAGGTGTATAGATATCTTTGAGACTCAGTGTTGTCATCATTTCATATGTAATTCACAGAATTCTTAGAGAATTGATGAGGCACAGAAAGCAAAGTTCAGAGCACATGGTAGCATGCAGTGAAGGCTACTTTTCCCACTCTTGTCTCTTCCTCTTAGACTGCAAATTCCTTAAAAACAAAAAACTGCATCTTATCCATCCTTGTATCCCTAGCACTTAGCATAATGTAGCTTAATAACTGTTTTTGACGTGCATGAAGGAGTCATTTGGGATACAGAATCAGCAGAAGGGGCTCATGGTGAGGGCAGCATGTGGTACAGTATGAAATAGAAAAAAGACTAGCTGGAAAGTGAGGGCATAAAGCCACACCCTCTGCCTCCCTGGGTTCTTTCCATCCCATCATGTTGTTTCCCCATAAAACTACCTAATAAAACTACGTTATAAAATGACCTCTCGGACATAATTTGCCACCAGTCAAACCATTACCTAATTCCAATGCATCTTTTTCAGGACATTGAAGAAGACCTTTGGCATGTGAATCATTCTAGTTTCTGGACAGCAACTTTATAATTGTTATCATACTGGTTATACATTGAAGTTACTGGGTGATAAAATTTGCCACGAAGATTTCCCTTCCTGTCAGTAATTGTATGCTAAGGGATTTGGACTTACTTTATAGGTAATGAAGCGTTCCCAACAGGATTATGGAAAGGATGTGCTTGTTGGAGCCTGACTTGCCTTTTAGAAAAAACTAAGATAAGACTATGGAGAACAGCTGGAGGAAGAAGACCTTGCAGGCAGTAACACAAGTCTAGAAGGCTTTCAATGAGATAGGGAAGAGATAAGATGGCAATAGCGTGGAAAGTTGGAGAAAGATTTCAGAAATACTCAAGAGGTGGTTCCATAAGGAAAACTAGCAGGGTTATAATTCTGTTTTAGGGAAAAGAGGAGGGAAATAATAAATTGAGTTTGGGACATTCAGGAGAGCTTTCTAGGTAAAAAGGAAGTTTGATTAAAGACCGATTTTTAGAAGATTGAGTTTCTTCTCCAAGGTGCTCAGTTTTCCTTTATTTCTGCTCTCATGGGTGTTTTGACCCAAGGGAGCAAAACTGCCTAGGATAAATTAGCGCTTAGCGATTGGAAAATCACCAATCGCAGAAAAAATACTAAAAGTTTTCCCAACTAACAGTAGTTAAGCATGTCATTTTCACATACCAAGATCCATTTATAAACTAGCCACTGCTGAAGAAAATCCACTTTCCCGAAAGGGAAAGAACATGAGCTATGAAGTCAGACACTCTTTACTTTTTCCCCTGACTCTATTGGGGTAATCAATCAATGGAGTATTATGAGGTGTCCTCATCTATGAATTGAACTAATCATACCAATCTCACAAAAAATTTAATGATATCATTCGTATAAAGCAGTAGAGGTCCCAGCATATAATAGATGCCCCAAAAACATTAGCCACTATTATTAATTAATACTATTTCCCAGAGGTAGAAATGTATTTAGTTATGGAAAGTTTTTACAGAAATGTCTATTACATACATAACATTTACAATATATAGATTTGTTGGAACCTACAATATTATCTCAATAAATTACAAACGTATTATCTGCATCAAATATCAGTGTATGAATCCAATGATTATAAGGTATATTGTTGTTAAATGATTTACAGTATTTTATATTCTCAAAAATTAATGCCAAATCTAGCTTTATCTTTAAAATGTGGCCTTGATATTCTTTTTAAAATTGGAGAGCCCAAAATATCCATTTTTAAAAAGTCTTTACAAGTTAATAAAACAGAACAAAATAGAGAACAAAGAAAGAATATCAAATTAATATCAAAAAGCACAGTTTATTAATACAAAGGACGTAAAGCAAATGACACGTAGTCATTTAAGCTAGAAAAATGTAGATAGAAACTTGTAAATTGGACTATCAGCTGCATCAAATTTGGGCAAAATACAAAGATATAGTATTTCTATACCTTAGTAAAACTGAACAAAAATGGAACAAGTGAAAAATGTATCTTTGGCAGGATTGAAATGACAGTTTTGACTTAGGTATCCATAGAGGAGCAGACAGAGTTCACAAACAACAATTTTTTTGTTTGTTTTTGGGTAAGCAAATAAAAACCAAGACATGATTTTTCTGTCCTGTTATTTAGATTGATAAAAGCCCAAAGTCTGTATTCAAATAGTTATTAAAATATTCACATATATATATATACATATGATTTCTTCTCAAAATGCATTCTTCTCCAACCAGAAAAACTTAACAGGAAAAAAAATTTCCTTTTCCTGAAGTCTTTAATGTTTCTTAGACCCCAGTTTTATCTTTCTTCTTAGCATAGCTCTGGAAAAGCAGTTGGAATGCAAAGCCCCTTGACAAATATCTGCCTTTTAAAAGATGTAAATTTAACATACAAGAAAAAGAAGGCCTCTGGGGAAAGAGGATAAAGGAGTTAGGATTTCTAACTCCTAGGCTAAAACAGGAGATATCAGAAAGCCATTTAATTTCCTTTACACTGCTGATTAAAGCCTTCATTTTAACCTTCATTATAAATCAAGTGCATTAAACACTAAGCTGTTTTTAAACAATTAATGTTAACCTTATTCAATCTTATCCCCGATTCCCCAGAAAAGCAATAGTTGAATTCTATTTATTCGGTTTAATGGATCAGCATTTCATTTAAAATAGAAGCATACAAGCCTGTTTCTATTTATGCGAGATATAAACGTCACTCTCATCTACATACATAATGCCATGTCATAGAGAAATCATGGTTGTCAAATAATAGTCTTTAACCATGTCATTTTGAAGTAACTGATAAAGGGAAAAGATGCATGCACCATTTTAGAAAACAAATTACTGTACTTCCTAGAACAATCAAAGCAGTGTGTGTAATATCTCATTCTGCTGAAATAGGTTAGAGAATCATAAATAGCTCGTGCACCGTTCCTGTGATTAATGTTAGGCAGTTAAGAACAGCAAATCAATGTTCCTTTGGGTTCCATTTGTAGAAAATAGTGGACATTTTAGTCATCTGCATGGTTTTATAGGTAAAGTTAGAAAATGTACACAACTACACATACTGACTTTTGGAGTACACGCTTGGTGACTTCTTCTCCACGTGGTAGCTTTTTTGGGTTGTGCGATGGGAAGGTATGGAGTATCTGTAGCTACTGCTCTTTTCATCGCAACAAGAAACAGAACAGAACAGTGCCCCTCCAGCAATCAGCACCAGCGCCGTGGTCCAGCCTATGTAGAGGGCTTCTCCAAGCTCACGTTTCTGGGCAACATCCACTATTGGGTTGTAGAAATCTCTGATGATGGTATTGGCAACCCAGCTCACAGGGATGAGCACCACGATGCCTGTGATGATGAAGATGATTCCAGCTGTTAGCAAGATGTAACCCTTCACCTTCTCGTCGTCCCCAGTGCACCTGGTACACTTCATGCCAAGGATGGCCATCATGAAAGCCAGGAAGGCCAGCACACAAGCCGTACACATGAGTCCTCTGGATGCCTGTAGGTCCGGAGAGAGAGCCAGCAGGGAATCGTAGACTTTGCACTGCATTCTGATGTTAGCGTGCCGCATGCAATTCATCCACAGTCCTTCCCAGAGGTTTTCAAAAACCACAATGTTGCTTTCAATGAAGGCAGACACTCTCCACTGAGGCATGATGGTTACAGCCACCGTGCCCACCATGCCAACACCACCAAGCACCAGGCCGGCGATTTGCAGGACATAGGTAGCCATTATCCTCCAGGATGGGTTTTATCCGACTGGATTCCTGAGCCGGTAGGCTGGTTCTGAAGCAAGATTCTCTGTGCCCCAGGAGAGAACAGTTTTCCTGTAGTAATGAACTCAGAACTCAGTGGTTTTTCAAATAAGAGCCGCTTTGCTACTTCTAGCTAGATTAAATCCAGTGTTGGCTGGCTGAGGTGCCCCCCCTGTTGACTAGGACAGGTAAACTTACAAATCAGGTGGGGCAACTTTCTCGGCCAATAAGAGGGGGATGGTAACTCAAGTGTGTCTAAACTGACAAGAGATACTTGGAACGGCTGGACCTGCACATAAACATTCTTTGTACTTCTCAGTTTTCCAAGAGGACAGCAGTACGTTTCCCTGCAGGCGTAATTATGAATGTTTGCACAATCATTAAGAAATGCACCAATCCCTTGTGATGTGAAAGGTGCACCTTGTTCGAGCAGTCGTGAAACTCAGTAAGAGCTGGTGGGACCAAGATATAAAATAAAATATCCGCCTAAGAAATTTACGAGGACTGTCAAAATGCCCAAGTGAAAGGAGAGTAGGCGGTTGATAGATTTGCTCAGACCTGGGAAACCACATTCTTTGGGACACATATGATCCCAGTGGGTGATTTAATTTGTCTACAACTTTAAAGCAAGCTCAACTGGGGTGCAAACAGGGAACGGATCATGCCAGAGGACAAAATAAGGCTAAAGTAATTAAATACACAAAGTTGTCCTCCTCCATGGCACCAAACACATATTGTTTTGTTTTGAGCCAGGAAAACTACTCGTTGGTATTTTTCTGATAATCTTGATTTGTAAGAAAAAAGTGTGCCAAACTACAAAAAGAATCCATATGATTTTCTTATGTAGCAAGCACTCACAATAGCAATTAAATGATAAAGTGATTTACAGATTGTTGGTTTATTTTGTGGCTCTATCTTTGCTGCTCTGTCTTTCTCTGAATTTCTAGAAGCAACTAGAATTCTGCAAATGGTACAAGAGTCCTGGTCTATAGAAATGACTGATATTTCTAAATAAAACATTTACAAGACAAGGTAACTGCATTCATTGAACTGAATTATATTAGGTTTTAGCTAAACTTGTCTTTACTACTATGTCCGCAGGAAGTGATAGAAGCCCCCAAGGGTATTGCAATTTGAACTGTCTCTTCTCAAAATAATGATGATGACACCATGGTGCCAAAATAAACATACACGTTGTTTTGGGAAAACAGTACTCCACTAGCACTTTTCTTCTGGAGATCATCACCTCGAGTGCTCTGTCCTGTCTTTCTAAACTTCAAGCTGTACTTTAATAATTTCCTTTCATCTTTACATTTTAAATATGATCTCTTCTTTACAATTTTACTTTCTCTCTGCTTCCTGTACCACCTTAAATGTGAGTATGGGAGAAAGTGCTTCCCTCTCACTTATTAAACTTTGAAAGTTTAATGGTCCAAAAAATGTGAGTGGTTTACAGAGGTTATGAAAACAAAAATGGTACGTGTTAGGGAGGGAAAGAGGAAGATGCCAAAGTAAACTGTCTTCTGAAAAGAAAACAGGAATGTATAGTAGTCCAAGTTGTTATTATTTTATTAGACTGGATATATTGAAAGTAAGAAAAAATTAAAACTTGATATTTACAGTAATTTCCTCATTTGTTGAACTGTTAAGAACTAACCTACAGCATGTCCCTAATGCTGACAGAAAATAGCATCTTCTCCCTCAGGCTTGTATCGGCACAGATTTGTGGTGGAGAGGGAAATAGGTTAACCTTGGAAAAATAATCTTTATCCACCAAAGGAGAGTTGCAATCAAAACAGCACGTTTTTTTTCTTTATCTTTAATCGCTAACCTGGGAAAGGGGAACGACTGCCGGAATTGGAAAATGAAAAAGAAATGACATGACTGGTTGAGATAACAACAAATTTAAAAAATATACGTTTGTTGAAAATAAAATTACAACTTCTTTCCAAAATTTGTGTGTGACATGTTTTTTAGGAGCTTTGTTTACATATTGCTGAATATCCAGATAAAAATGGGAAAATTTGAGACAAATAGGTATCTACGTACTTGAGATCTTGGCCTTCCTGGAAACTGCCTCCCAGGTGTGCATTGACGCGTCTGTTGGCTTCATGTACCACCAACACTCTCTTTCCTTAAGCACTGAGGTTTACCAGGACCTTATTTCACACAAAAATATTTTCCTCATTTCAAAAATATTAGTACTTTACCACTGGAATTGTCCCCACCAAAAGATTAGGATCGGAATGAGAAACTAACCCAAGGTTCACATTGGAATAATTATAGAGTTAGCTGCCCTTACAGAAACTAGCCCAGGGCATCCAGGTAGGATTCTTATCAGACAAGGATCCAGTTAACCCCAGGGCATCCAGGTTTGTTTCTTATCGCACAGTGATCCATTTAATCCCGTGATATTTTGAAATTAACTGTGCCCTAAAGGTCACTGGAAATGAGAAAGACAGGGAAAAATGGTAATACCAAGTTTACTAGGGCCCGAAAGGCCTAAATTCAGAGATTAAAAAGTCAATTTACGGGGCCGGTCCCATGGTGCAGTGGTTAAGTGCGCGCGCTCAGCTGCTGGTGCCCCGGGTTTGGATCGCTGGTGCGCACTGACGCACCGCTTCTCTGGCCATGCTGTGGCGGCCTCCCATGTAAAGTAGAGGAAGATGGGCACAGAGGTTAGCCCAGGGCCGGTCTTCCTCGGCCAAAAAAAAAAGAAAGAGAGTAGGATTGGCATGGATGTTAGCTCAAGGCTGATCTTCCTCATCAAAAAAAATAAATAAATAAGTCAAGTTAACTGTTTACCTACTTTTCTATAATACTACATTCCTACTAAGATGATTCATTTGCCTGCAAAATTCAAATAGCAGTAATGGTTAGAGAATTAGGAAATTAATAACATTTTTACTGTTCTTTAATTCAAAACTACAGAGCACAGAGCAACCTGCACAGATTTTTCTATAATTTGTACTTGCATTTCTATGGAAAAACCAAAATATTACCAAGAACCCAAGAAAGAAAAAAGCATTTTCATGTTGACCCACTGTATTCACTCTGGAAATCTCCCTTCATCTACATTATCAGAAAGATGATTTAAATTTAGCAATTAAGTTTACTAAATTAAATGGTCTGATAACTACATAACACATGCAAATGCTTTCTTTTTAAAAATGAAAACATACACTGTCACTGTCTGGATGCCCTTGCTTTTGTCATCGTTATTCTTACAGCAATTAATCCTAACCAACAACGCTTTAGTCTGGGGTTCCTATTAATTCTTATCACTACTTGAAATAATCTTTGCTTCTGCCAGTCAAGCAGTTGCCAATTTCTATTGTTTTCTGGATTTGTTTTTGTACTTAATTTTCTTTCTTGTGTTGACAATTTTCACCCTGTATTTATCTTTAATTATTTTTCACTGTAAATAAACTGTAATTGGCTGACCATCTTGTCCTAAGAAAACAAGTGAACACATCAATAGATCTCTTTGTTTGTTGTTCCCAAAATAATATTGTGCATTGTTACATGTTCTTCAACTACTACCCTATTTGTCCTTCATGATGACTAGCGGTTCGTGTTCTCTCTTCTTAAAGTTCTGTATCCATTAGCAGTCCTCCACAATCCCACCTCTCTATAATTTACACTCAATTGCTCTGCTTAAAAATGAACTCCTTCCTGTGCAGTAGCTGTCTAGTGTCTTAGCCAGTTCAGGCTGCTTTAACAAAATACAATAGACTGGGTGGCTTAAACAACAGAAATTAATTTTTCACAGTCTGGGGGCTGGGAAGTCTGAAATCAGGGGGCCAGATGGAGGAGTTCTGGTGGGAGCCCTCTTTCTGGTTTGCAGATGGCCGTCTTCTTGCTGTGCCCCCACATGGCACAGAAAGAGAGTGAGAGAGCTCTATTCTCTTTCTCTTCTTATATGGACGCTAATCCCATCAGGAGAGCTCCACTCTCATGACCTCGTCTAAACCTAATTACCTCCCAGAAACCCCACCTCCAAATACCATCACATTGAGGGTTAGGGTTTCAACATATGAATTTTGGGGCAACACAAACATGCTATCCATAACATCTAGCTACCAACAAATCCGAGCAATTAAGTTCACATAATTCTGAAGGGTCTATTATTGCCTCAGGAGTTATCTTTTTTCCAGGATGAAAAAAAAAATACTGAATATAAATAGACAACAGGAATAATGGTTATTGAAATGTTTTTGTCTTTCTTCTACTTTTCATTGTACTTTTTAAAATTAAAATCTGAGTTGTGGAGAATTCTGACATATTTTGGGAGATAGGTCTGCATGCTTTGTTGAGTGCAGTGTAATTGATATTCCCCCTAAAGGACTGGAAATCCAGGGAAATAACTTTTTAAAAAATTAAGCTATATACTGTGATATTATTTTCTTTAAATTAACAAGTAATTTCTATGGACAAAATTGACATGAACCTTCCCTAATTGTAATAATTTGGGACATTTTTTTAAAGGAGCTGGAATTTGCTAGTCATAGTAATAGTTACTGAGCATTAAATGTTCCCCACGCCTCAGGTTCCTTACATGTGCTACACCTTATATTCAAAACATCCCTAGAAGGCAGGGCTTATTAGCTCCTCTTTATAATTGAATAAATTAAAACTCAATAGAGACTGTGCCTTTTCTAAGGCCACAGAGCTTTTACTTGCTCAATCCACAGAAATGGAACCCAGATTTGGACCTAAAACCCATGTTCTTTCCTGTGCTATCTCCCAAAGGAAACTAGAGGAGGGGAATTTCTAATATTGACACATATGGTCAAAGATAATGACAAAACAAAATTTGTTTGACAATTTTTTTTCTTGCTAGCACATCGTTGAAAGCTATTTGCATGGCTAAACTTTGTGATTTTTTTTTCAAATATCTGATTCACTGAAATTTAAATATATTTCTTTAGATGTCTATCCAGAGGAGTTTCTACTGGGGAAATCACACCACAGTTATTTCTTATTTAGAGTTTCAGGGAGTTGACACCTTTTTCTTATCAATCTCCGTCTCTAACTTGATAGTTTCTTAATTACAGACTAGGTCATGATACTTAATAATCTAACCACCACTGAACATGTATTTGGCTAAAATAAGAATTAAACAAATTCAGTGCAATGAAGTGAACGACTTCATGTATCAGTGCCCTCAGCTTATTGTAATATGGGAAAACTTTCCTTTGTGTTTACGGGGACTTATTGGTGACCAACCGAGGTGGTATGCTCTAGTTACCTTCATTAGTCTTCTAGAATTGTTCTTTT